CGCAACTCTTCCATTAAGCAGAAACATACCCAAAGATTCCAAGTTTTCTACCAATTTAACTCCTCGATTATTAATTATTTTATCAAGACTTTCGCGCGAATTAGTCAAATTACTATTCAAAAAATATACATCTTCATCTATTTGGTTAAGATCACCAACTCTACAATTCCAGTCACCTCCGATAAAAATAGGTAGATCAATGTATTTTTGATTTATATCAAATATAATTTCATTAAACGATTCTATGCTTTCCGAAATATTAGTAAGAGGATTAAAATATAAGAGACCAATGATAAACTTAACATTACTTTTTCTTACACACACAGATAAAAATAATTGAGAAATTTACATACAGAGTTTCTACCTTATAAAAACGTTTGTTTAACAGAATCATCAGTCCACCTTTAGGTCTACCTCTTCCATCACACTTCAAGGCCGGTGAGAAAATGACCTCAGATTGGAAATTTGACTGAGTGATATTTAATCTAGGAGATGATGTCGCCCAAGTTTCTGAAAAACATAGGATATCCTCGCTATTCGAATATTCCAAGAGATCACTAATATGTTTACTACCCCTGGTATTCCAGAAGAAGATTCTGGGTGAGAAATCCCGATCGAGATGTCAATCCTTAGGGTTGTTTTCCACAATTTCACTAGAAGCTGTGCCTCTTTTAAAGTAATCTTTCAAACTACCAGAAGAATGCACTAACGGGGCCTTTTTCCCTTTTATCTTCTTCACTGAGGAATTAGTCTTTGAGCCTTGTTGATTTTCCCTCTTACGTTTGACTGCCGACGAAAAAGAATTGACCGAGTCATCACTGTCGGACACAGAGGCAATTTCATTCAGACCATTCTCGTCGGGAGCTAATGTCTGTATGAACTTTAAGGCCGAATATTCATCGTAAACTTTGTTTTCACAAAATAATTTAATATTTCTCACTTGAGCAATTTTACCCAGCTTTTCGAGAGAGTCTTTGTAAACAAACAATTTCGCGCGGGTTTCATTACGCACTATTCTTTGCTCTTTCGAGAGGTCATTGGTGACAGTTATCTTTATGTCCCTCAGTTTAATCACATCTTTAAAGATCGTAGATTTATGATGCACTTCATTAAAAATAATTAAAAGAGGGCCAGCACCTTTGACGGCTCTCAATCTTTTAACCGAACAAATATCTTCCTTTTTAATGTCTATACGAGCAGACGTGAAAATTTCGAGCACTTTACTTATCAAAACTTCACCCTCCGATTCTTCGACTCCAAACATAATAAGATTTTTCTCTCTTTCCTTTTTTTAAAGATAATGAACCACAGACTCAACTTTAGACAGTCTCTCCTTTAATTGACTATTTTCTTGAGACAATATTTTATTACTAGTTTTACAAACCTCCAAGCATGAGAATAATTTCTCGTTAGCACTTTTTAAACTAACAATGTCAGGGGCTACACTAGACAACTTTTGATTATTATCACTAATATTCACTTTTATGTCTAAAAGTAACTTCATTAAATCGTCATTCGTAGCCATTGTTATTTAATAAAATCAAAAGAACAAATCCAATTGAAACCGACAGCACAAGTTTAAACTTAAATCGTCGGAGCAAAATATAAACACGTCCTTTCAGCATGAGTGCTACGATCAAACTCCCTAATACATTTATTAATTATATACGTATATATTATTATTATAAACAGTTTAACTATATATTTTTTTAACTTTTTTATAAAAATTATTATCCCTTTTTATTGTAAAAAATCTTTTCCTCCACACTTTATCCAGGCTTTTGTTTCTAATTTTTTATTTTTATGGTCTTCAGTGGAACAAAAGTTATTGTGTCAAATTTATTTTCTACTAACTGAAAAAATGCTTTAAGCAAAAGATTTTTTACATTAACCCATTGATGCCTATAGGCAAAGGAATGCAGATATAATAAAAGTAACTATTGGAATCCTGGCATAGGATCTAATGATAATTTTTATCGTTGAATGTTAAAAAAATATTTTTTTAACAATTTTTACATTCTCATCAAAAATGAGAAAGTCTTGGATTTGTGCGATTTTGAGCAATGTCTAATTTTGCTAAATCTTTACGTTTCATGACCCCCTGATTCCAAAAAAATGGTTTTTAGAAAAGTGTCTGTCCGTCTGTCTGTCCCTCTGTCTGTCTGTCTGTCTGTCGTCTGTCTGTAGAAAAATTTGTCGCCACGATAACTCGAATAAATTTTTATGAATCGTCTTGCAATTTGGCACACTTTTTTAGTCCATAAAAATGAAGCCTGAGTTCGTTGGGCAGCCCATTTCGTCAAAAAACAACAAAAATACAAAATTTTGAAATTTTCAAAATTTTGTATTTTTTACAATTTTCAAAAAAATATTTTTTTAAAATTTTTTCCTTAAATTTGGTGCAAAAACAAACAACTTTTCCCTTAGACACTTTTCAGTACAACAAAAAACAAAAAAGTTATGAATTTTTTTTTTTTTTTTTTTAAGTTCTTGGGCCAGGTATATTTTTTAAGTTTTTGGGCCAGATTTAGCCAAACGGTTTATCTAGAACTAAAAAATTTTATTTTCATATCAAAATATTTTTTTTTGTCTCTCAACATTGTTTAGAAATATTGCTTTACATATTACTCAGAAATTTTTTTCTAAAGCTATTAAAAATTTAATTTTTTAGTATTTCTAAATTAAACAAATTTTTTTTGAGTTCTGGTTAACCGATATAAAATTCGAAATATGATTTTTTCATTTTCAATTGCACTATTTGAATATATTTTTTGTTTTTAATCATTTTTAATTCGATCGAGAAATCGCTCGAAAAAAACGAAAAATCTCGTGAAGAAGACAATGAAAACAATTGAATGTGATTTATCATTCAATTTTTTTCATTGCCTTCTTCACGAGATTTCTCGTTTTTTTCGAGCGATTTCTCGATCGAATGCAACACTAATTTTTTACATTATTATCACATGAGAAAGTATTAGTTTTGGTCGAAAATTGACTTTCGCTAATTTCTTGAAATCTCGACGTTTTGGGGTCCCCTGAGTCTGTTAAACATGGTCTAGAAAAAGTGTCTGTCTGTATGTCTGTCTTCGTGTCTGTCTGTAGACACAATGGTGTCCCTACGATAACTCTTGAAAAACTTATTGCATCAACTTGCAACTTTGCATGCACAAAGTTACTGTTTAAATACAGATCAAGTTCGTTAGCCAGCCATTTTCGTCGAAAACTACACAAACTACAGTAGTTTCAAAATTTTGAAAATTCAATTTTTTCAAATTTCAATATTTTTAATTTTATATTACTTTCGATTAGAAAAATACAAACAACTTTTCTCTACAACATTTTTTCATAGAAACTTAATTTTTTTTAAGTTTTTGGGTCAGGCGAGGTCAACTGGGTTAAAAAAATTTTATTGGTTTTCTAAAATGTTATAACTAAAATATATTCATAAAAGATATAACATTTTAGAAAATCAATGAAATTTTTTTAATACAGTTGTGCTGGTGTGACCCCTTTTTACATTTCAATTTTTGGTCCTATCTTGTTGGAAATGGTTTTTTACATTCTCATCACATGAGAAAGTAATATACCAGAGTAACTTTTCTAGGAGATAAACACTTTATTAAAACAAAAATGTCTGAGTAAATAAACAAAGAGTGAAAAGTTAGTCATTACGCTCCGGTCTACACTATACAAAAAATTTGATACTAATTCTTTAAAAATATTTTAGCTGCTTCTGCAAATCATGTTTTTACTAAGAGAGTTAGTATAATTAAAAATAACTTTACAATTTTAATCATCAAGACCAAAAAATACATTTAAATTCACTTAATATCGCAATCATCAGCAAACTAAAACATGTGATGAGAATGTAATCCTTAAAGTCGTAGTAACTTTAAAAAAAAAACTGTTTTATGAAACATATAATAGGAAACAAGAACATAAATAATGCACAACAATTGCAGACCCCGGCGAGCGAAGCGAGCCATTTGCGCGCGAAGCGCGCAACAACACACGGAGCGCGAAGCGCGACGTGCGAAATAATCGCCGGAGCGCGAAGCGCGACGATCAATAATCGCGCGCCCCGAGGCGCGCTGAAACTTGCGAGCGAAGCGAGCCCCCGCGCGAAGCGCGGATGAGAATGTGTCCGCGCTTGCGCGGACAGATTTTTTTTATAAACAAATGAAGAAAAGTCGATTTTTATAAGAAACTTATAGCGCTATTTGATTCTACGCTAAATTATACGAAAACATATATTACATAATTTTTTAAAAAAGACCTATTGGTGTAAAAATGTTATAAACAATTAGCCTGCATTCATACTGTATGAGGTATAAGGATCGTTTTTGAAGTTAAAGATTTTATTAAACAAAATTAGCTTAATCAGAAGAGTTTTTGACGTGAAAAATTTTTTAAACAAAATTTTTACCTCAAAAACTATTTATGTAAGTGGAAATAAATAAGTAAAATGTCATCCGAGCGAGCGTTAGCGAGCGAGAAATATGACGCTAGTTATTTTATAATACTAAAAAAAACACTTGAAAGCAAAAAGTTGATTTTCTTGCAATCTTCGACCAGAAAAACCCCTTAAAACAAAAAAATCAAAATGCATGTGTTACAGAAGAATTATATGAAGAAGAACTGTACCAAATTTTAAAACGATTGATCCAATAGATTTTGAGTTATGGCAGTGGCGGATCCAGGGGGGGCACGGGTGCTTGCCCCCCCAAGAGTCGTGCATTCCTATGAGATAGAAAGAGATAACACTACATTGATTTCATTTTTTTAATGGATGGTCCCCCCCAAAAACCTTTTTTGTAATGCTTGTCTCTCCCCAGAAGCCTTGTCTGGATCCGCCACTGAGTTATGGCGTACACGGATTGACTCTGATTAACTTGAAATTTTGACATAATATTCTGAAGATATTATGCATGAGTTTAAAAACAAATGCAAAAAATTTTATTACCTTACCCCTTCTTAATTAATAAATGTTATATATTTACCTTTTTCCGCAGGAATTCCACCAACAACTCTCGAATAACTGACGTTACTAAAACCACATTGCGGAGGACTTAAAAAATTATACTTGGTCAAAGAGTTCTGTCTTTCTTTGTCGATATCTGGGTTTGTATTTGAATTATAATCTCCAATTTCAGGACAACACACTATAGGATCTCTTCCTTCGTACTGGCATGCCGATCTACGTAAAAATTCACCAGCAGCTTCTCCCTTTGTTCGCAAAATATTTATAAGAGCAGGACAATCTCTTATCTTGACACAATTTCCTAATTGTTGTAGAGGTGTCAAACATGTTGCTGACAAAGTATCTGAAAGGTATTATTTCTAGATTAAATTTTAAGCGTGTATCAGAAGAAAGCAGACTCATAGAAATAATATAAATAAAGAGATTATTAATAAAGAGATTCTTGTGAGATTTTTAACTGGAACATTTTTAAAATTTATATGTATTTTGTATCTCCCTATATTACAAAAAGATATCGCCGCCGCTGTTTCAAGATTTTCTGTCCTACAGGTCAAGAGTTGACCTGTAGCTTATTTGCCCTCAAAATTTAGGTCAATTTTAAGGGCAGTTTTAACCTACAGGTCAAAATTTGACAAACTAACCCCTCTGCCCTCAAAATTGATGAAAATTTTAAGGGCAGTTTTGACCAAAGCGTACACGTCAATTTTGAAACACATTTATGAAAATGTGAAAACGAGATTATAGCGAAAGCGAGGATATACATCTTTATTTGGAGTTTTATCTATCATTGGCTACTACTCCGGCAAAGTGCTGTTTGTAAGATGTTTGAAGTTTGGAAGGGTAAACTGGATGATGCAGAATTCGATGAGTGGTTTAAAACACACAAGGATGAATGCAGTGCCAATCATAAAGGTTCAGCTGGAAAGATGAAAGTGGATGTAATCGTCGAAATATTCAAGCGCTCGGAAGACAATTATAAAGTTATTTATAATAGGTTTATTGGTATATAATTATACAATATAATTATATTGGTGACGGTGACTTGAAAACTTACACTGGGATTGTAAACTCTAATCCACATAGTTCCTAATAAGTTATAAGAAAAGACTGTATTGGACATATTCAGAAACAAATGGGAACTCGACTTCGCGCATTAGAAAAACAGTTTTAAAATATTGGTGGCAAAGGAAAACTGACTGGGAAACTCATTAATAAATTAATTGTTTATTGTGGTCTCGCGATTCGTCGACATTGCAATTCTGTGAACAATATAAAAAATGCGATATGGGCAACGTATTATCATTATAGTTATATATAATATATATTATTATATATTATATTATAGCTATCAACGAGCCAAGGCAAATAAAGAATCTTACACACATGACAACAAGCCGCTCACAAAAGAGATGTTAGATGCAATAAAATCAATATATACCGATCTCAGTAAAGATACTTTGCTCGAAAGATGTGTTGGTGGATTTAACAAAAATAATAATGAAAGTTTTAGACAACTCATTTGCAAAATTTGTTCAAAAATCATGAAAAGTGGAGCACTTCCAGTACATTTAGCATCTTGCACATCAGCTGGATTGTTCAACGAAGGTACACACTCGTTACTGTACTTTTTACACTCTATTGGAGTTAATTGTTGTCGTAATGGAATGCACATGCTTATGCAAATAAATGTAACTACGCAGCACAGCTCTAGTTTTTATCAATTTCCTTGTAATTAACAATGGATTAAATTAGGTATTCCAACTCCCCGGACTTGCCCTATGGCTATAGAACGAGATTTTGGGAATTTTTTTGACAATTTCTAATACAACTTTCTTTTCAGTTTTCCATAATCTTCAACTTTTTTACCACTTACACGAAAAGGCAATGTCTTCACAAATAGCGTCAAATGGTATGTTTTTCTTCATTGATTTATTTTGGGTCAGACTTCCTCCCAAACAACGAAGTGATAATTTAACATTCTTTCTAGTGTTATTTTATCACTTAAAGTGGTGTTAACATCACACCGTGATGGTTAAAATTGTCGCGAGTATAATTTTAACATCACTTTTGGTATTAAAATAACACATCTTTTTCTGTTCTTAAAATTTTTTTGTAACACAGAGTTATCATATTTGAGGTTTATTAATTGATAGTAAGCACTTACCTTGCAATAAATAAAATTGTAAGAGTACACAAGAATATATTTGTAAAACTTTATATTTGGATTTCATATTTTAAAACAGTAGATATATCTCAGATGTTAAATTCAAAACTTATTTGTTGTATATTTAAGCATTAGATCTTTCCAACATGGATAACCTAGAAATAAAAGATCACTTTTATTATAAAATATTCAGTATATACTAATAAATACAATTCTTTTTTTAAAATACAGAAAATTAAAAACGAGTTGAAAATTGTGACAGAATGTCAATTTTTTAATTTAAAAAGGTGGTATGTGTTTCTATGCAAAATCCCACGATGAATTTATTTTTTCAAGTAGAATCAGTCCTCCGTTTATTTAATTTTATTTACACTCTTCATTAACTTTTCTTGTGTAGTTATACATTTTTTCATCAACTAAATTTGAGGCGAATTGTAAGATAAGCAGTTAAAATAGGTAAAATTTGATGCAACACAAATAAATGTCACCATAAGGTGAATGGCTTTTTTATCCCTTACGTGCTTGGCTTTTTTGCACTCCAGGACTATTTTTACACATCTAAATATCATAATTTACAGGTGCACTTCAGCGACCTCTGTAAGGTGTGACAGAGAAACGTTGTGTACTTGCATGCCGGAAGCTTGGCTTGATTGCCTGACTGCGAGACTGAAAACCCTCTATATGGTTCTTCTGATCCCAAGCTTAAGCCGCGCGGTGATGAGATGAATGATTGGGGGACCAATCCCTAGCACGATAGCTGAGTATTTTTGTGTAAAATGGTTGAATTTTTCTTCCCTCACTTAAGGGTAGTGGTCAGTGGATGGTGTGTGTTGCATGTTTGGCTTTTCATTCTTATTTCATCTTTATTAATGTACTTTATTTTTATTTTATTGCAAGTTAAATCTGTGGTGCGTTTTGTCTGTTATCATTTTAACACTGCCTGATGGATAAGGAGTACGAACCAGATGATTATGTGTGAAAACAAGTCAGCCTCGGAAAAAACTGTTGGAGAACGCAATGTTGCGGGGTAGAACAGAGTTATGCGGTAATTGTGATTAGTACAAATGAAGATAGTGGAGTCTTAACGTCTTGTCCAAACTGCGGACAGGCGGGTTTTAGTGCAGATATAAGTTGTTGAGAGATGGTCGAATATATGTGAATTGGACGTCGTTTAAAATTAAAGTGTGGGAAAAGGTGCCACGATGTTTTGGTTGCATGAGGTATATACATAGTGTGAATGAATGTAAGAGTGAGGAATTGTGTTTTAAATGCGGTAAAGCTTCGGATGAGCGTAGCAACTGTCGACTGAAGGGACTTCCTTCGAGAGAGCATAATGCTCTGTCACAGGATTGTCCTGAGTATGTGTGAAGATTGAATGTATTGAGAACTCGATGCAATAATGGCAGAAAGATCAAATATTGTTTAGGGATATGGTATGGGTTTGGTTTAAAGGAGAAATAGGTGAAATATATTTTATTTCTTTGTATTGTAGACCCAATTTGTGAAATGGACGAATGTGTTGATTATTTGACTAAAATGCTACGGATGATTAATGGTAAACGTGTTTTGATTGGAATGGATGCCAACGCTTCTTCCGATTTCTGGCACAGAAAAGCCGTAGTTCGCCATTGGGGAACGTTGAACAGAGATGAAAGATTGGCTGACTGGATGTTGTGGAGAGATGTGTCTGTGTTAAATAAACCTTCGCCCATCTATACTTTTAGTGGGCCGCGAGGTGAAAGCGACATAGATGTAGCTCTTTACAAGGGTGAAGAATGTACATTTGAGTGTGAAATGTTGGGCGGAGGGGGATTAAGTAATCATAATATATTTAGAATGAGGATGGTTGTTAACGCGCCGGTGGAGGAAAAGCAAGTGATTGAACTGAAGAGATGGAATGATATGAAATGTGATTAGGAAAGGTATACATTTTTTTTAGTCATATGCCTCGACTTTTGGGTATGACAGGTACTTAGAACTTGGAGCGGAGGAGAGAGTTAGAAAAATGTATGAGTGGATTGAAAATGCGAATGATGAGTGTATAAAGGAAAAGAAAGCGAAAAGAGGTTAGAAAGAAGAGAAAATCTTATTGGAATAAAAAATGATCAGGTGATGGCGATAGATCTGAGTGTAAACAATGGAAAAGTAGTACGAAAAAATATAAAAGAATGATGAGAGATGCTAAAGATACAGATTGGAAGGAATTTGTGAGCAAGAAGGAATCATGTAATCCTTGGAATCAAGTGTATAAGTTGTGTATGGGGAAGCTTAATGACATGGTTTGGCCAGGCTAGTAAAGAATAGACAATATACGAGAACGTGGGAAGAAAGTACGAATATGCTAATGGATGATTTATTTCCTCCCGTGAATAGGGCTACTGTCCACGAGAAAGTAGGAATACATGTAAATGGAAATGAGATATAATTATGAGTTCAGTGAAGATGAGTTTTAGACGGCGGTTTAAAAAATGAAGTTGGGTAAATCACTATAGGGTTTGATGATTTGTTAAATTTAATGTTGAGACATGTTCAATGTGCTGTGCCTGGGTTTATGAAAAGAAAGGGTGTGTTTCCAAGAAACCTTGTACAAGATCATACGTAAGAACTTATGGAAGAACATTGACAAACACTTATGTATATATAAACTTACATACGTTTTTGGAAAACTTAAAACATTTTCGTTATGTAAGAAACTAAAAATTATAAATGAATTCAAAAGTGGGAAGAAACGAGACATGATACAAAGTGAATTTGGTTTATCAACTGCCACATTTTATAGAATATTAAAAGAAGAAGATTCCATAAAATCACAGTGCTTCGAAGGCCATGGAAATATGAAAAGAAAACGTTTAACCGAATCTGAGATTAAAAAGTGCCTTCTGGAGTGGATGAAGCAAAGTTTGGATAAAAATATCCCTCTAGATGGACCATTGTTAAAAGGAAAAGATGTAGATTTTACAAAAGAAATTGAAATCCCGAACTTTAAAGCAGGTAATGGTTGGTTAGATGATTTTAAAAAGCGACGTAATTTAGTTTTTTTAAATAGTTGGGAAAAGCAAATCTGTCGATCAAAGTGTATGCGATCAATATGATCCAAACAATATTTATAATGCTGACGAGACTGCACTAATCTTTAAGTGTCTCCCTGATAAAACATTCACATTTAAAAGTCAGGATTCCCGGGGAGGAAACCAAACTAAAGAGCGTCTTACAGTTCTTCATTGTGCTAATATGACTGGGACAAATAAATTGCCTCTTCTAATTATTGGAAAATAAAAAACTCGATGTTTAAAAGGGAATTTATTTATTTACTTTTATTATTTAATTTACTATTTATTTAGTTTATAATTTTTATTCACAGGTGTATAAAGACTATCTCGTCGCTTGGGGGCAGCAACATGCCGACTCAGCTAAACGGTGAAAAAGATGCCGTTTCAAAAAGCAAAGTGAAAAACATGCCATTTCACAAATCCTGTGGAAACTATGCCTCGCCGCGAAAGCGCTGAGAAACATACCTTCTCCAAACGAACGGTGAAGAACATGCCTTTTCAGCCTTTTTAATATAATATTAACGGTTGAAAAGGCATGTTCTTCACCGTTCGTTTGGAGAAGGTATGTTTATCAGCGCTTTTGCGGCGAGGCATAGTTTCCACAGGATTTGTGAAATGGCATGTTTTTCACTTTGCTTTTTGAAACGGCATCTTTTTCACCGTTTAGCTGAGTCGGCATGTTGCTGCCCCCAAGCGACGATCTGTTGATTACGAAAGTAATAGAAACGCTTGGATGACAAGGCAAATATTCATGGAATAGCTGCAAAAAATTGACAAAGAAATTCAAATTAAGAATAAAAATATTATTCTTTCTGTCAATAACTAAACTGCCAGTATCAGCAAACTGCAACCTTTAGATCAGGAAACTATTCGCGCATTTAAACGATACTAGCGAACAGAAGTGGTTAAGCACTTAAAGATGTTTAAAAAAGAATAGTGACGTGGTTTGCAATCAGTAATGTGATCATCAAAAATTGTTTCAAAAAAGCTGGGTTTTGCACAGGAATGGAATATAGCTCAGAAGAAAGTGTCGATGAAATAGTTCCCAGCAATGAGGAGTGAAACAAACTTATGTCAGACGAAACAAATGCTTATAACCTTTGATGATTTTGTACGAGTTGACTATAAGCATATCACGGTGGAGCTTACAGACGACGACATTGTTACAAATTGTGCCAAATGCAACAATGATGATGACGATAATTATAGCGAAAGAAACGAGAATTCAACGATCGCAGAAATTTCTATTCAAAAAGAGCAAAAGGTTTTAAATGCATTAGAGACTGTTCATAGATTTTTCAAATTTTCAAGCAATATCAACAATCCAATTTTTGACAAAATTTATGAGCTTGAAGAACATATTAAGAATACTAAAATACAAAAGCAGACAAAATTAACAGACTTTTTTCATTGAATTTTTTTTATATCTATGTACATTCTCGAATAATTTATGGCCTTTTTATTCGTAAAATAAATAAAATTTCTAATTATGAATGCAACTTTAATTAACAAAACCTCAATAATTGAGAAAAGTCGTCCTTGAACCTCTATAAGTGCAAAAACTTCTGAAAGTGAGAAAAGTCGCTTTTCGACCTTCAAAAGTGAGAACCTGGATAGGTAAGAAACTTTTTTAAGTGAGGCAAAATTCTCAGTCCTTTGGATTTTCACTTATCCAGGTTTGACTGTATTTTAATTATTATTATTACTGAATAATAATAAGTAATAAGTATAAATTAAATATTATTTATATAAATAATAAAAACAATTTAAATAAATATGTAAATAATAATTTAAAATTTATAAAAAAAATTTTATATGTAAAATTTTAATAAAAAATTGTCAATTGTAATATTCCTCAAATTTGTAATCTTATATTTCAAACAACGAAACACGTTACAAATTTACTCGTCAAACATTCTATTCTCTTGAATTGATTACCTAGAATCGTAAGCTATATAAAAATTAACATTTAGAAAACAATAAATATTTTAAAGTTTTGTGTGTCACGTTCCAGAAATTAAGCATTTGTTGCGAATAATTCACGCTGCAAAGCCGACCGCCTGTTCTTCAATTCTCTTTAGTTCTTATCTTATCTTCGATAAGCT